TGAGATGAATCAGCCAGGTGGCATCATTGATGGCATTGAGTGTGGTGGCAGTGGTGAGGTTGGCCCAGGATCGGACATTGTTTCGTTCTGCTGTGCATGGGGTCGCTATGAGTCGGTTCCAACTCGATGGCACTTGACAACAACAACATAAGCGATTCAGTAACACTGATTGCATTCTTCAAGTGGGGCAACTATTCTTAGTTCTCTAGTGCTGTTACAACCGAAGTACCTGCTTTGTCAAACAGAAATGTGTTTTCTCACAGTTTAGAAGGCCCAGTTCTAGGGGAAGGCTCTAGAGGAAGATCCTTGTCTCTTCAGCTTCTGCTTCCTAGTTCCTTGGAGAGCTCACGTGTCTTGGCCTTTCTCTTCTCCTTGTTAAGTGCCGTCAAGTCTGTTCTGACTCATAGCAACTCTGTATAGGGTTTCCTAGGAGTGACTGGTGAGCTTGAACCACAGACCTTGCAGTGTAAACCAACTTTGCAGTCGTGCGCATTAACCCACAGCACCACACCAGGACCCCATATATATTACGTATGCATGTATAGAGTTGTGGTGGTTAGGTGCCCTCAAGTCGATTCTGACTCATAGAGACATTATGCAGAACGGAAGGGACACTGCCTAGTCCTTCAGCAGCCTCACATTGGTTACATGTTAGCCTATGGCCGCTGTTACTGTACCAATCCATCTCGTTGGCGAAGCTTCGTTTTCACTGACCCTCCACTTTACAGAGCATGATGTCCTTCTCCAAGGATTAGTCCCTTCTGCCAACATGTCCAAAGTCTGAGAGATGAAGTATCCCCATCCTCACTTCCAAAAAGCATTCTAGCTGTACTTCTTCCAACACACATTTGTTTGTTTTTAGGTAGTCCATGGTACTTTTAATATTCTTCTCCAACACCATAATTTGAATGCATCAAGCCTACGATCTTCCTTATTCACTGTCCAAATGTCACAGGCATATGAGGCAATTGAAAATACCATGGCTTGGGTCAGGTATACCTTAGCTTTCAAACTGACATCTTTGCTCTTGAATGCTTCAAACAAGTCTAGTGCATCAGATTAGCCTGATTCAATACATCATTGGATTTCCTTACTGCTGCTTCCATGAGTGTTGATAGCAGGCCCAAGCAAAACAAAGTCTTTGACAATGTTGTTGTTTCTCCACTTATCCTAATGTGTTTTATTGGTCCTGTTGTGAGAAATTGTGTTTTCTTTGCATCGAAGTGCAGTCCAACCTGAAGGCTGTAGTCTTTGATCTTTATCAGTATTTTAAGTCCTCTTCACTTTCAGCAAACAAGGTCATATCATATGCATATTGCAGGTTGTTAATGAGTCTTCCTATAATTCTGATATCACATTCTTCTTCATATTACCTGGCTTCTTGGATTAAAAGATAAAACCTTTCACAATAAGTGCCCCCTTGTTCTGCCTTTTAGTTTATGAACAGGTTCCTGAGCACAATCAAGTGTTCTGGAATACCCATTCTTCACAACATTACCCATAGCTTGTCATGATCCACACAGTCGGAAACCTTTGTGTAGTTAATAAAGCACAAGTAAACAGCCTTCTGGCATTGTGCTTTTAGCCAAGATCCATCTGACATCAGCAATGATATCCCATGTCCTCCTCTGAATCTGGCTTGAATTTCTAGCAGTCCCCTTTCAATGTACTGTTGCAACAATTTTTTAAATTATCTTCAGCAAAATTTTCCTTACATGTGATATTAATGGTACTATTTGATAATTTCCTTATTCTGTTGGGTCACTTTTCTTTGGAATGGGCACAAATATGGATCTCTTTCAATCAGCTGGCCATATAGTCTTCCAAATGTCTTGACATAGATGAGTGAGTGCCTCCAGTGCTGCATCAGTTTGTTGAAAGATTTCAATTTGTATTCCATCAATTCCCAGAGCCTTGTTCTTTGCCAATGCCTCAGTGCAGCTTGGACTTCCTCCTTCAGTATCATTGGTTCTTGATCCTATGCTACCTCTTGAAGTGGTTAAGCCTTGACCATGTCTCATTGGTACAGTGACTCTGTATTCCTTCCATCTTCTTTGAATGCTTTCTGCATCATTCAAGATTTTGCCATATAATCCTTCAATGTTGCAAGTCAAAACTTGAACTGTTTTTTCAGTTTATATATATATATTTGTTGTTGTTAAGTGCCGTCGAGTTGGTTCTGACCCATAGTAACCCTGTACAGGGTTTCCAAGGGTGTAAATCTTTACGGGAATAGAAAGGCTTATCTTTCTCCCGCGGAGCAGCTGGTAGTTTCAAACCACTGACCTTAAGGTTCGCAGCCTGATTCGTAACCACTACCCTACCAGAGCTCCATATATATATATATATATCAAGATTGACATAGAAATTTAAAGAGACAGTATAGACATAAAACCAAATGGCCACCACTCGTCTGTCTGTCGTGCTGTGGTGGTTTGATTGCTGTGATTCTGAGGGCTATGACACCGGTGTTTTGAATAACCAGCAGGGTCACCCATGGTGGAAAGGTTTCAGATGAGCTACAAAACAAAGACAGACTAGGAAGAAAGAGTGACAAACTACTTCTGAATCAATAGTCACTGAAAACTCTATGAATAGCAGAGAAACATTGTCA